AATGAGGAGGAGGAAACAGCCACTCATATCATCTTCGAATGCGAAGCAACAGCTCAATGGAGGTTTAACCTAGCGTACGAAAAAGACACAGGGAACCAAATTGCAGCAATAACAGTCAATGACTTGATGCTTCTGAGAAGAAGGATTGAGTCTATTGACTAAACTAGGGAACTGGGAAGGTACAATAAGCCAGAAGGCTGCAGTGCCCGGGGAGTGCAAACCCCGCTTCCTAGTATCCTTTTCTACCATACCATACCATACCATACCTCACGCTTGCCAAGCACATTTCCTCAATTCTTTACTGTCACATTGAACCAATTCTCAAAATTTTTGAAATGAATTTACATCATACACACTTTTTTAAATTTATTTTGCAGTAAGGCTGATAGTCAACTCTTATTTCGATAAAGAAACACCAATCCAAAACATGGGAACATCCATTGAGCTGTTTTCATTCGGTTATCAATTTTTCAGTACTTAATAAATCATCCTTTTTACACCTAACACATTGATAGATAAAATGGTTTGTTTCGGGAGGAAGGGGTTGATCTACCATGCACCTCAAAAAAGAAATTGTATTGATCCTACCGAGCATAGAATTCAAAAGTTTATTAAATGAAGCAGTGTTTGCGGAATTTTTAAAATTTTAGAAGTTTTAATTCACAGCGTAGTGAGTTGTTGAAATTCTTCAAAGATCTTCCGATGTTTAAAATTTATAAATTTGTGCGATTGAACCATCTACCAATTAAAAAACTATCTCAAATTCGATGAAAAATCCAGAGTTAACAGAGAAAATATGTTTATTTTTGTGAAATCGTATTTTGTCAACGGAATCAGATGGAAAAATACTTTTTGTGGCAGTCCACTATCGCTCAAGTTGGTTTTTGCATCTCACAATGAATAACCCCGCATAGTATTACAATTGTAATTTCAGCCACCAAAATTAATTGGCGCAAAGTACGCTTTTTTTAAAAATTTAACTTTTCTCTGCTCGATAATAAATTAATTACTTTGAATATTACAGCATTTGATTTTTCTGTGATGATATAATGGTTTCAGTTTAATACGCATTGTTGTGTATTTATTTTTTATTTTTATTTTTCTTCTTCTTCTTTTATAATAAATCTAAAACTGGTTATTTTGCTTTTCGACAACTCAAACCGATTCAAATAATATTTAACAATCCCCTAGCATAGAACAACTGAAAAACATGGCTGTGGTTGTATCATTTCCCTAGAAGAGTGAAGAGAATTTTCCGTCCAACTAAAAAAAAATACTTAAAATGAAATGTCACTAAAATAGTTAAAAGTCGTTTGTAATGGTAGAAATTAACGACCAAAATTAAATAAAACAATCAAATCTCCTTTAATTTACGTACATTCTGATTACATAAGCATTTTTTATATTTCGTTTTTGTACAGAAAAGCTGCGATAAAGGATAAATAAGTTTGAGTTCCAAGTTAATTTATTCAATTAAAGGGCCTTGGTAAATTTAATTTCTTTTTCAGACCGTTTTATATTTATATTGTTATTGACTAATTTGATTTATTTTACGTTCATTAATAACTTAAGATAAAAGGAATGTAAATTTATTGCATTAGTTAGGAAGCTAAATGATTTTTTTTTTAAATTTAAACAGTGATGCGTTTTCCTTTAAATTTTTGAACCCTTTAAAAAATATATAATTAAAACAAAATCACAAAAAATATTTCATTTACGCATGACAATATTATATTTTTGCAAAAATTAAGTAAAGACGTACCGACGGAAAAAGAGAGGATGTCAGGGTCTTCACTCTTGGAGATTTGGTCCAGCACTGAACCCACGGCATTCGGGCTCTCTCGGATCGGGAGCGCATGTCTCATAACCTACCCCAGGACGTAAAAATAAATCCCGTACTAATTTTCCCTTGCGATTAAGGGCCAGGTTGGTTTCCAACGGGGAGATTTTGACCCAACTTGACAACAACTTCTTGTAAAACATTATATTTCCAAGCTCAAACATTCGGCATTTATTTATCGGTGATTTTATAAGGAAAAGAAGAAGTCTCGTAAAAAATTGACCAGCAAAACAGAATATTCGACAACATAGTAGGTCAATAAATGTAGAAGATACTTAGATTATGGTGTTGTTTTTTGTTCCATGTTTTTGACAGTAAAATAGTTGCATAACGGAAAGACAAGTCAAACCTGTTTGTCGACAACTTCACCATACCCGTGTATTTTTAACTCATACTGATTACTGATTTATATATCAATTCTGCACGCGTGTACAGAGTTGAGCCTTCTTTATATTACTTGACTTCTCGCAGTCTATCGGCAATTCTAGATTTTGTAATTTAATTAAATTACCGGTAGGTCTCGAGAATCATCCACCCGGGGTATGGTAGTCCGGGATAAGTCTTTGGTCTTATCTGTCCAGAGACCGAAGTTGGACTTCAGGGTTCCCAACGCAATCAGTTTCTAAATTCATTCATACTCTCACGCATCCTTAAATTCATGCTTACTTACATACGTAACATTCATTCATTTAGGGTAATGGACTATATGACATTCTTCTATCACTCTTTACCCCTATTGCAAAACTAACCTAATTGAGGGTCGATGGCCATCGGCTCTCTCACACTACACGTTCACGTCAACAAATTTATTCACACGTTCTTCACTCAAAAAACATTACTATGTACAATAAAACAACCCTATTTCCTTCACAAATCGGTACAGGGGACCTAGACACCTCCTGCCGTCCAAGCACAATTCTCATATCGGGTGGCATTCCTGCGCACTCTCTATCGCGCTCTATCTCATGCAATCAAGGAGTTCCATCCTTCAATTAGGTGGGACCAATTAAGCAACCTTTCGCTACATGCTGGACACTTAAGCGGACTTTGGTCCAAAAGGTGTGTCACCCACGCATGGCTTATTAGTATGATGAGGGTGGCCCTTTTTCTGCGAGTCAGGTCTTTATACGGGAGCGCTTCTTTACCGATCTGGCCGGCCGGCAATACCACTTTTATTGCATTTTTATCATCAGAGGATGATCGCGGCGGTTAAGTTCGGAGGTTCTGTCCTTAGCCGATTCGTCAACCTTATCGTTACCCTCCAGTCCTTTGTGTCCTGGAATCCAAAATTCGTTTTCCCGAGACGCTTAGGCTCGTGGCATCTCTCTAAAATAGCCCAACGAGAGGGTTGACGGAGAACGTGTCAAGGACAGCAGTAACCACGCTGAGGAAGAACGTTAAACCGATTTTTAAGAACAGGTAGTGTGTAAAATGAAGAAATCTTTAAGTTTCCAGAATAGTACTTCTTCCTTTCATTATTAGTAAAATATGGTACAACGCGAGGGCCTTGCTTAATGACTTAATTTAATTTCGATCCCATTAAAAATAAAAGTTATACATGAGGACGTTAAATCCAACTACCCGTTGGGTGTCGCGGATGAGGTTTCAATACGGTTTCAAACTATTTTATACTATGATCAATTAAAATTTCAAGGGCTGTGCCGAAATTCGAATCCAGAAGGTAAATACGAGTCGGACGCCTAAAGTAATTGGCTACCACTGACCCTTTGAAGATAAAGGTATCAATTTTCAATTTTTTTTTCAATTTTTCACTACACACAAAACAAATATTTTCAAGCTACTAACCAGGCAGATTACTTATTCAAATAGTAAACAATTATAAGCAGCAATAAAAGTAAAAAGTTCAACTTGTTAAGGTACTTTCCATAATTAATAGGGAAATTAACATTCCGATATACCGATTCATGATATATAGAGTCTCAGAGTCTCAACTTTGCAAAAGCCACTTAACACTATTTGATTTAAGTTGAAGTTTGCCGTTCATCTATAGACAAAGTGGTCCATTTATCTAAGTACGGTTAACTTTCCAACTACTAACATAGCCTGGGAGACGTTATTTTGGAAGTGGTTTTATAAGGGTATCCCCTAACTTATTTACCGGAGATGGGAGTGGTTTCAATTTCATTAGACATTATGAACATTCCACACGCGAGGTAATCTGCTTACGCCCGAAAACAGACAAAAGCTATCAAAAGCTTTCAATGATTGTGACGAATATTTCCTATTTGTTATTTAATATATGTGCTAACCAATTTGTAATGTTACAACGATTTCTTCCGATATATTGGATAGGATTCTGTCTTCCAGCTCGAATCCTATCCAAGCAATCTGTTACATCCAAGAAAATTGTGAGTTTATCAAAGACTGGCGCAAAAAGTTGAGAAATGTGTTCATCTACATTGGGAAAAGTCTTGATGTGCACTTTACATCAGAAACAAGGAGCTACCAGCTTCCACCCAAATCGGACACTTGGAACTAAACCTCGACAGCAGACTGACGTGTAATTCCTAGAAAGATTTGGGCAACTGCAAAGTCCATAGGACCAAAAATCTGTCAAAAATCAAAATCTGTTTTGATCGCCAAAACCCAACTTAATTCAAGAAACTACCAATTTACTCATACGAAGTGGAACTAGGGTTTCACAAAGCCAAAGCCAACCAACATCCAGCGTGTGCAATTCTACCGAAGTCCTGAAACAAATTTTCAACGTTGCTAACGCCACTATCTATAACGATCTCAACATTTTTTTGTCAAATAACTAATCCGATCCCCCATCCACAAGTTCTACACCAAGTTTTCGATCCAGCTAACTGCTCAAACCTTACCAACACTTACCTATCGTTACGACAATGGCCTCGAGACCTTTCGCTTCCTTAATCCTTCATAATGAGTACCGGGTTACCTAATTTCTCTTAACATGTGTAAATATATATTTACAAATGCTTCTCCTTCAGCAACGCATCGCTTGTATAGCGAGCAGTGCAAACAGGATGGCGGTATCATACGCGTAGGCGGTAATTATGGTTTCAGGAAGAGTAGGAATTGAAATATATACTGTGTACAGAATGAGGCCAGAGATTGGGTTACCTTATTCCTTGAGGTATCCCGGCATCTGTTCGATAGGCTGATCAAGAAGGGA